TGTTGTGTTGTGTTGTGTTGTGTTGTGTTGTGTTGTGTTGTGTTGTGTTGTGTTGTGTTGTGTTGTGCTGTGTTGTGTTGTGTTGTGTTGTGTTGTGTTGTGTTGTGTTGTGTTGTGTTGTGTTGTGTTGTGTTGTGTTGTGTTGTGTTATACTGTGTTGGGTTGTGTTGGGTTTTGTTGTGTTGGATTGACGCACATTCGATTAGTGGCACTGTGCGAATAGGGTCATGGGCAATCGAGGAGAAGCGTTCAACTGGCGACACGACCCTGTATATTACTTTCAGTTCGTTTACTAATACCCGGTATGGACCTGATAGACTGGTACCGAACTACTTGATATCTCACAACCACAAAGCTAGATATTCTCCGCGAACATTAAACCGTCTCCTTTGATCGGCGATCGTTTGTGCTTTTGTTGTGACGGGCGTGTCTATGGAGATGACAGTTTATGAGTGACAAAACAGATGTGTACTTAGATTGCTATACTGAGTCTGAACTCAACACACAGCATTTGCATAGACGACGGTCTCACAGGCACTGGTTATAAGATAGAAACCATTCGTCTGATATATGACGGGTTAGCAAATTACAGCCGTCAAGCGTGTGTATGGGAACACGACCTACGACAGACGATACTTATAGCGAAGGATCCGACACCACACAACAAACGCAAGCAATACTATGACAGATGGGCCTAGAAACATAGTTCAGAGATCTCGGATCTGACTATAGGTACACACATCACAATCAACTCAACGGATTGTGGCCATACTAAGCCTTTGACTTGTAATGTGGATGTACCAACTTTGGGATAACTCCAACTGGTGTGAGGACTATGGGCGTGACAGTGTCCAGTACTGAGTTTGGGGCTCAAGCGGATATTGGCGTATGGACCAAGCGCTGATTACAATGGTAAATACTTGTAACTCTAAAGTTTGTGGCTAGATACATATAACTCTAAAGTTGTGGTTGGATACTTATAACTCTAAAGTTGTGGTTGGATACTTATAACTCGAAAGTTGTGGTTAGATACTTATAACTCTAAAGTTGTGGTTGGATACTTATAACTCTACAGTTGTGGCTAGATACTTATAACTCTCAAGTTGTGGTTGGATACTTATAACTCTAAAGTTGTGGCTAGATACTTATAACCCTAAAGTTGTGGTTGTATACTTATAACTCTAACGTTGTGGCTAGATACCTATAACTCTAAAGTTGTGGTTGGATACTTATAACTCTAAAGTCGTGGCTAGATACTTATAGCTCTAAAGTTGTGGTTGGATAATTATGTTTCTAAAGTTGTGGCTAGATACTTATAACTCTAAAGTTGTGGTTAGATACGTATAACTCTAAAGTTGTGGTTGGATACTTATAAATCTAAAGTTGTGGTTGGATACATATAACTCTAAAGTTGTGGCTAGATACATATAACTCTAAAGTTGTGGTTGGATACTTATAACTCTAAAGTTGTGGCTAGATACTTATAACTCTAAAGTTGTGGTTGGATACTTATAACTCTAAAGTTGTGGCTAGATACTTATAACTCTAAAGTCGTGGTTGGATACTTATAACTCTAAAGTTGTGGCTAGATACTTATAACTCTAAAGTTGTGGGTAGATACTTATAACTCTAAAGTTGTGGTTGGATACATATATCTCTAAAGTTGTGGCTAGATACTTATAACTTTAAAGTTGTGGCTAGAGACTTATAACTCTAAAGTTCTGGCAAGATACTTATAACTCTAAAGTTGTGGTTAAATACTAATAACTCTTAAGTTGTGGTTATTTGACAAATTGGTCAGTGAAACATACGGCCGTGGTCATATGTCCGGGAGGGTAAATTGTGTTCGTCCGACTCAGCAGCCAAATATCAACATAATATAAGTTACACATAAAATGAGCTGTGCTCTGTGGTTGGTACACATCAGAATAGGCTATCATGATCACATATCTTAACACACTATCATGACCATCGCTCGAAAATACTCGACATATCTGTCATACTATTCAGAAACATCCTCGGCCCATCAACCTAGTGTGTAACCCTTGCTACACAGTACACCCAAATATAGATACGCGTGCATGCATGCAATCACCAAAACACTATCTAAGTAGCCACTACAAGACACTGTATTCAACCACACCCGCACAGAATGCTTACACTTACCTGACGGAGCACAGCGCCACAAGCCCCCAGACTCGTCCCGCACATACACTATATCCATACACACAGCAACCTGCACAATCTCTCCACACTGAGCTGTGTGGAACTTGATGGACTGCGGCGCACAGGCATAGTCTAACGAGCCATGCACGGTAGACGTAAGCACTAACTGTGTGTGGGCAGGCGTGTTGTTACACTCCCGTATGCATACACAGGCTATCCTCAAGTCACTGGCAGCAATGTGCGAGAAGTGCCCGGTTGTAAACTGTGGCGTCGGTTCAGCGGAACAGTATAAGTTACAATATAAATTTGACATTCCGCGATAGGAAGGTAAACGAACAGGAAAGTTCAGGTGGAGTAATAACACAATAAACGCAGTACATGAGTAGGGCAACCTCGCTAATTGCCGCGAAGATTAACTGAGTCTATCACTGCTGATGAAATAAATGCAAAAGCAAGAAAGATCTGCTACGATTTAAAAACTTTAGGATTTTAGTATATATGTGCACGAGGAGATACATACGCATATTTATACAATAGCTCAATATGGTATCATAACTATATCCGATACACACCCACACACACATATATATATTTATAGTTAAATACACAAATACACACACACACATATACACACACACACACACACACACAC